TATACTGATTTGGTTGTAAACCGCTCCGAGTCGCCTACGGGCTGAGAGAGAGCGGTATACAAGTGAAGGAGATAAATAATAAATAAATATCTTGTCGGGATTAATCTTCAGCTTGTTCATCCTCATCCAGACAGCCACAGCGGCTGGATGAGGGCTAATAAACTGAAACGTAATCCTGCTTGTGAAGCTGATCGGGTGAGTGAATGCACAGGGTTGCAACCCGTGCTGGACAAGGTAACACTCCCGTTGAAGAGACAGGTTCACAACTTGGGGGTCCTCCTGGACTCAGTGCTGATGCTTGAAATTCAGGTGTCGTTGGTGGCTTGGACGGCCTACACCCAATTAAAGCTTATGCACCAACCGTGACCATGCTTCGAAAAGCCAGATCTGGTCACGGAGGTCCACGCCTTGGTTACGTTTTGTATGGATTACTGTAATGCACGTCACAGTTGGATAAGTTCATTCAGAAGAACCTGAAAGTCGGGAAAAACTTACGAATGTTGACTTCCGAAGCAGTTTTGAACCGTGCAGGAAAGGTGGAGGATAAATCCGAATTTGAACCACTTACCTTTTATTTTTCAGAAATATTATCTAATGTTCAGATGTCTCCCAAGGTTATTTTAATTTTCACAACCATTAAGCCTAAACTTTTAAAATTTCATGCTTTCTGCCACGCTGATGCAAGGAGGGATTTTTTTTTGTTGTATCAGGAGTGACTTGAGAAACTGCAAGTCGCTTCTAGTGTGAGAGAATTGGCCATCTGCAAGGACATTGCCCAGGGAACGCCCGGATGTTTTGATGTTTTACCATCCTTGTGGGAGGCTTCTCTCATGTGCCCGCATGATGAGCTGGAGCTGATAGAGGGAGCTCATCCACGCTCTCCCACGATTCGAACCTGCGACCTGTCGGTCATAGAATCAAAGAGTTGGAAGAGACCTCCTGGGCCATCCAGTCCAACCCCATTCTGCCAAGAAGCAGGAATATTGCATTCAAAGCACCCCCAACAGATGGCCATCCAGCCTCTGTTTAAACTACTCCAAAGAAGGAGCCTCCACCACACTCCGGGGCAGAGAGTTCCATTGCTGAACGGCTCTCACAGTCAGGAAGTTCTTCCTCATGTTCAGATGGAATCTCCTTTCTTGTAGTTTGAAGCCATTGTTCCGCATCCTAGTCTCCAGGGAAGCAGAAAACAAGCTTGCTCCCTCCTCCTGGTGACTCCCCCTCACATATTTATACATGGCTATCATGTCTCATCTCAGCCTTCTCTTCTTCAGGCTAAATATGTCCAGCTCTTTAAGCCGCTCCTCATAGGGCTTGTTCTCCAGACCCTTAGAATCATAGAATCCTAGAGTTGGAAGAGACCTCATGGGCCATCCAGTCCAACCCCATTCAGCCAAGAAGGAAGAATATTGCATTCAAATCACCCCGACAGATGGCCATCCAGCCTCTGTTTAAAATCCTCCAAAGAAGGAGCCTCCACCACACACCAGGGTAGAGAGTTCCATTGCTGAACGGCTCTCACAGTGAGGAAGTTCTTCCTCATGTTCAGATGGAATCTCCTTTCTTGTAGGTTGAAGCCATTGTTCCCTTGGGTCCTAGTCTCCAGGGCTGCAGAAAACAAGCTTGCTCCCTCCTCCCTGTGGCTTCCTCTCACATATTTATACATGGCTATCATATCTCCTCTCAGCCTTCTCTTCTTCAGGCTAAACATGCCTAGCTCCTTAAGCCGCTCCTCATAGGGCTTGTTCTCCAGACCCTTGATCATTTGAGTTGCCTTCCTCTGGACACATTCCAGCTTGTCAACATCTCTCATCAATTGTGGTGCCCAGAATAGGACACAGTATTCCAGATGTGGTCTAATCAAGGCAGAATAGATCATGGGGAGCATGACTTCCCTGGATCTAGACACTATAGAGGTCAAAATCCCGTTGGCTTTTTTTACTGCCGCATCCCATTGTTAGCTCATGTTTAACTTGTTGTCCATGAGGACTCCAAGATCTTTGGGTATGGAGAAGGCCAGGAGAATGGACACAGTATTCCAGATGTGGTCTAACTAAAGCAGAAGAGAGCATGGGGAGCATGACTTCCCTGGATCTAGACATTATAGGGGCCAAAATCCCGGGGGCTTTTTTACCGCTGCATCACATTGTTGTCTCATGTTCAACTTGTCCATGAGAACTCCAAGATCTTTGAGTATGGAGAAGGCCA